GTTGCGCCGGCCCCAACCCAGGCAGTTTCCTCCTTCATGTCAATGGAAATAGACCGAAGATTGAACATGTCAAGGATGAAGAAGGGGCGATCTGAAATGTAAGATAGGCCTTCATAGTCGTGGCCACCGCTTCGGATTTTAAGCTGAAAACCGACCTTCTTGGAACAAATTACGGCTGCTGAAACGTGCGATTCCTGTTCAGGGGTGATGATGATTACAGGTTTTGGTGTGGAAGAGGAATTGAAACGAGCGTTACGGATGTAGGCTCGTAAAACAGAGTTGTACGAAGAATTCGACTTAGCCAAAACGATTTTTGAAACATCGTCTGATGGTTTGGATTGATTTGTGAGGCATTGGAGGAAGGATTCATAGACTGAATCCGAGGCCGCCGTTGAGGGAGAAAAGTTGAAGAGGACGAGGAAAAGAACAAGGGGCAACATGGGTGTCTGTCAATAAATTGTATTTTGAATTTGTCTGAACCCTCAAGTAGTGCTATACATCTCTTATATATTGTTCAAATTCAATGCCTGGAAAATCTCTGTAGATTTATTTAATGCTTTGAAAAGGCATTTCTATGGCTTTCATTTTATTTTATTTTATATTTTATAGGCAATGTTATAGTTAGCCTGACATATATAAAATTATAAGTTTATAATTATAATGTAATGTTAAATAAGTATAAAGTGTTATTAAGGGTTTGTTTGGTATAGTGGTTTGGGAATAACTGTTTGTGGTTTTGCCCAAACCACTAAGAATAAGTGTTTAATAAATTTATTTATTTTGAAACAGTTACAAAATAATTGTTTAATAAAACTTTTAATTTAGTAGTTTGAGATTAGCAAATAGCGATTAGAGTTTAAATTGTTAATAAAATAAAAAAACTATTTAAAGTAATTTTTTGTAACAAATTGCTAGCGAATTTGAATTTTTTAATTTTATTAACAAATTTATCTTTTTTATTTTATTTATATTTTTTAATGATTTTTAATTAATATTTATCTAATTAGTTTCAACTTTATTTTTTGTCTTTAATAATATTAAGTAATTATTATATATTTTTTACATTAATTTATTATAAAAAATATATTAACTTATTAAATAAAATTTACTAATTAGTCGAAAAGATTAAAAATTTTTTGTACTTTATTTAAAACTGATATAATTTTTCTTTATTAAAAATAAAACTTAATATATGATTACATTATTATAATTTATTTATTTATTATTATTATTTTATAAAATTAATAATTTTAATAATAATAAAAAATACACTTAATTATTTTTAAATATGTTTTTATTAATTATTTAATTTTAAATAATAACTGTTGACTATTGTATAATCAAACAATTATATTAATTGAATCTACTATTTATTATCCATTACTCACTTTCCGCTTTTGCTTTCCACTAACCACTACTCATTAACCATTACCATTAACTGCTGATTGCTATTTATTATTTAATATCTGTTATCTACTGAATTTTAATTGTTATACTAAATAAGTCTTAAATAAATGAATACGTACAGTATTATGGGACTATTGAGTGAAAAAAATTAATTAAATAACAATTACTTATATAATAAGTTTATAATGTTATGTGACATTGTAACCTATATCATTTTCTTTTTCTTTTCTTTTCTTTTTTTTTTCGCCATTTATTCATGGCTTACTCTAGACCAAAAAAACTCATGACTTTAGAAAATTCAAAGTAATATTCGTGGAAAAAAAAAAACTGAAAAGGAATGAAATCTGTGAGTCCGTCATAGAATAATCTATTCATTGATGTTGTATCTAGCTCTAATTGGAAAAATATTTACAAAATCCATAAGTTTCTGCAATATATATCATAAAAAATAGAGATAAATATATACTTGTCTTATTTTTTTCTTTAAACTCATACTGTGTGTATTATATATAAAAATAAATGAATTTTCAGTTCGGTTATCTTCAAAAAAAAAAAAAAAAAAAAAAAGGCGAACCTGGACATCATCAAAAGAATTTTTGGCCGGCCAATAAAATTAATTAGAAAACCTGGCCCAATATAGATTGAAATAATAGAAGACTTCTTTAGGCTTTAGGCCTATTGGCCAAATATATCTCTAAACATAAAAGGCTTTCAAATCCATCGGTGATAATTTAAGCTTGTGTAACCTCTTTCCTCACCTATTTTTCCATCGGTTGAACCACTTATTTTGTCTTATAAAAGAAATTGAAGAGTCCTTATTCTCTTGTTGGAGTGATAAAGAGCTAGCTAGAAATGAGATAAATACGAGTTGACATTTTATAACCATAGGAATCAGTCTAACAGCAACACACACATCAAGAGAAATTTAATTGGCTCAATGTTGACCTAACAATTGAAATCTAACCGTTTCAATGAAAAGAAAAAGATGTATGAGAACTCGAGAGAAGTTAATCACTACATGAGATGCTAAGAGAAATAAGAAGAAACGTGTGCTCTTAAAAATCATATGGGTTGTCAACAACCTACATAATATGTTTTATAGTAATTTCCTTTTAATAAAATTAGGAAGTTCTGAGTTTAAATTATAAATTATATAGGTGTTTTAATTAAGGAATGAAGGAAAATTAATTATCATTGTGTAACTTAAGGTAAAGAAAATAATATAAATTTATAAAATAATAATAATAATAATATGGGGTGTTGGCCAATTACTTGTACGATTTGCTGGTATTAGAATCTATTGATGGGCAACTTAGGGGAAGTTGATTGTGGCTAGTGGCTTCTAATGTTACTCACATGTAAGGCTACTACTCAATTGAATTGAGTCGAGTACTTAGATATTTATGTTTGACCTTGCTATACATATTCATGCTTAAGTATTTATTGAGCTTGAAATAATTGGACTCGTGCTTAGAAGCACACCTAATGTAAAACAATTAGGGACAGCTGCCCCCCTAAACTTTTAAAAAATGTTTAATATGATACATTAATTTTTGTTTAATACAAAATTTGTTTTTTGAATTATATATATTATATAAGGACAATGATAGGCTTACCCTCTGCCGTTACACATCTATCCACACACTAATGGAATCCGTCAAGTACACTAACGGTCTCCGTTACACACCTAATCCCTAAACTTCTCCATCTTCTTCAAATCTAGAGAGTGTTGGGTTTCTTAATCTTGCTGCCATTAATGTAAGAAGCAAACATCCAACCAAAAAAAGTGTCCGACGTTGCCTGTTGCTGCCAACATTCCATCTTTTTTGGAGCACCCATTAGACATTTTCAACAACGCACAAAGAATTCAAAA